TGGAGGAAAGAAAGAATACAATTCAGAGTACAATTACAGTTACATTTCAATAACTGTGAAGCCAAGACTAAATCCAGTTGCAAGTTCCAGTTAGAGTAGGCCCTTTGATGGATGCCCTGATGAATGGTGAGTTAAAAATCATTTAAATCCCACTGATTCAATAGGTCTAGTCTAGCTGTTTAAATCCAGTCTCTCTGGGACTACCTGTTAGATTTAGTCCCTAGACAGCACTGTTTTGATTCTGCTACTTTCCACTATTATTCAGGGTCTGAAGTATCTTGGGGATTGGTTTGCATGTAACACTACATAGTTGATAAGAACTGCTCCATACAGAGTCAGAATAGCCATGATGTAGTCTAGCTTCTGGTACAGGACAAACAAAATTAAAAAAGGATTGGTGTTTGCCCATGGGCTGTGTCAATATCTCAATGAACTTTCTGCCTCATTTGCACATTAAAACCCATGGATGAGGTCCTTCCACTTTCCCCAGTGCTCTCTCTCATCAGTGACTGGGGATAACATCAGCACGGTTTAACATGAGAAACACCTATATGTGGCTCACCTGGGAGACAGGCCTGACCTAGAAGGCTTTGAGGCTCAGTTCTGCCCATGCTTCCTGTTCTTGTCCTGGTTTTAGGTGAGAACTTTCTAAACAGCAAGCTAGGTGGAGCTAGGCCTAGTTTAGCCTCAAAACCTTTCAGTTTAGGCCTTTTCCCCAGGTGAGCCAAATTTAAGTGTCTGTAAGATGTCTGTCTATCAGGTGGAACTCCTACTGTGCAGAATTCTGGGATGTGTAGTCCAAATACCCCATCCCTAATCACTGCATCTGTTGTCATTCAAATGTCACTGAGATAGGAATTACATAGAGATGGAAGACATCAACAATTGGACTTCAGCTCCTAGAATCCCATGGACTGGCTGTAGTTCCTATGAGTAACTTTCTTCATTTCTGGACTGCTTGTCTTCCATGCAAATATATAATGCCATATTGCATTAAAAGCATTTAGAACTGAATGTCTGGGTTATGTCATCAATGACTTTCTACTGAAAGAGGAAGTCAAGACATTTTTTCAATGAGGCTACCTATATGACATCAGAGTGCTTGACACTGACTTGAACTACTGTCTGAGACCCTGCACCCCGAGGCTGCAAACAGTAATACTGTAATGTTCTCAGCTTTATTGGTAATAAACAGTGCTGGCTTTTATTGCTCCTAACTAGTGTATTTGCCAAGACAGAAGTCTATCTATTTCTTTGCAAATGATTTTCCACTTGCTAGTGTTCCAAGCAATACATCAATTTTTCAGTATCTTCTCAAAATGAATACAGTTGCATATGATCAGCAGAAAATAAAGAACCCCAAAGCAGGAGAACATGTAAAAAGCCTTCTTTTTTTAAAAAAAGTACCTCTTGATGAGCACCCTACTTCTCACTGGAGCCAGTGAGACAGGAATAGTTAATTATTTCACCGGAACTGATCGTAAAGGTATCATATAGCCACGGTGTCTTGTAACCATGTTTCATCCTCTATGGATTCATCTAAGCTTCATCTCAAATGCTGGCTGTCACCATATCTTACAGCAGTGCATCTCATAATGTTAATGTTATGATCATTCTCAATTCCATCAGAAACCACAGATATTGCAGTAAAACAAGGAACACATTTATTCTTAATATTAGATGGGCCCTCGAAGCTCTATTACTATTTATCTATGAACAAATATTTTGATTGGTTTATTGTTTTATGTTCTCTCAGCGATTCAGATATTGTATTCAGCTGCTGAGAAGTTTGCAAAAAGTTGGATATATCTTCTCAAATACGGAGGTATTCTCCTCCCCTTCTCATTCAGAGAAAAGCAAGATCTTGCTGTCCTGTTTCCACAGTTCTAGAATAGTCACTGACCTTGCATGTAATCAATAATACTGTATTTATATGCTCTCAAGTCAGTTCTCACTCATGGCAACCCTTCCCAGGGTTTTGTATGCAGAGAGTACTCTGATATTGTTTAACATTTTTCTGATGGCAGTCGTTCTCATTCAGAGAAAAGCAAGATCTTGCTGTCCTGTTTCCACAGTTCTAGAATAGTCACTGACCTTGCATGTAATCAATAATATTTATATGCTCTCAAGTCAGTTCTCACTTTTGTATGCAGAGAGTACTCTAAGATTGTTTAACATTTTTCTGATGGCAGTCTGGGACTGTGCAGCTTGCCCAAAGCTACACAGGCTGGCCCATCTCCGGAGAGGCTCCTGACCTCTGGCTCTGTATTGTAATTTATAAATATAGTCTGAAAATAATGATGGCTGTAGCATAAAGAGAAACATATTGTCTCATAATGAGGAAAACCGTGAGGAGGCAAACTGTGTGCCTAACCAGTCTTCTGCCCAGATGCTTACTGTTGCTGGACAACCGGAAGGCCTTTCGTGTCTTCTTACTATGGTTCTCTGTCTTTAAATAATGATGGCTGTAGCATAAAGAGAAACATACTGTCTCATAATTTATTTACAATATTTTTTAGCCGCACCATTACCAGTGGCTTCTGGGCTGCGAGGAAAGTTGTGAAGAGGCAAACTGTATGCCTACCTAATCTTCTGCCCAGATGCTTACTGTTGCTGGACAACCGGAAGGCCTTTCATGTCTTCTTACTATGGTTCTCTGTCTTTAAACTGGACTTTGATGGGATAGCCCTCAGATACGGGATTTCTTCAAACCTGAAAACTGTCCCTCGTAAAAGAGGATACATGGCCACTGTATTCAGAGTAGCATTATAGGAAGCCAAAGAATTGTTTGAAAATTTGCGACAAGTATAAATGGCATCTATGTCCTGTGAACCTAGCCAGACTTGCACAGGGACTTTGACCAAAGTGCTACTGGAAGGAGAAGCCAACTCAGGACCACTCTAGGCGGCTTTGACCAAAGTGCTACTGGGAGGAGAAAAAAACAATACTACTGTACATATGTGGTTGCAGTGCCCCAAAGCAGCCAGTTTTGGAGCTTAACTACATATGTACTCAGACAGATGAAAACAAAGTACTATTATATAAAAATTTGATATCTCTGCTGTCATGTCTTGGCTTAAAAGAGTTTGGTACTTAGCCCTGTTGGACAAACTAGCAAATAGATTAAGGATATTAAGAGAAATTTAAAAGATAAATGCATAGAAATGTTGTTCCCAACTAGCAAATAGATTAAGGATATTAAGAGAAATTAAAAAGATAAATGCATAGAAATTTTGTTCCCATTTATTGAATATGTACTCAGACAGATGAAAACAAAGTACTATTATATAAAAATTTGATATCTCTGCTGTTCACAGCAGAAAGAAATAGAAATTAAGTCAACTTGATGTCATGTCTTGGCTTAAAAGAGTTTGGTACTTAGCCCTGTTGGACAAACTAGCAAATAGATTAAGGATATTAAGAGAAATTAAAAAGATAAATGCATAGAAATTTTGTTCCCATTTATTGAATATGGAATATTTGCCCTCCCTTCCCATTAACCAACTCTAGTTTTGGAAAGATACATTTTAAATGCCCGAGACCTGATTTTCTCTCTGAGTGTAGGGTACTTTAAGTGGGAACAGATGTTTTTCTTTAATGCAGTTAATGTGCATTACCTAGTTCTACCTTGTTTTATTGTTTCATTTATGTTGTTTTTAAGGAAATAAGTATTCTTTTATTAAATAAAAAAGCATTTTTAAAAAGCCAAACAACTGGCTATAGTTGTGTTTCAGCAAGGTGCAGCTACTATCTACTACTTCTATATAGATACCATGGGAACTGTAATTACTGTAATGAACTGTAGTGACGCAAGCCAGGTTAATTATTTTAAGCCATCCCATTTGTACATTGCTAGCTCATCAATCCAATTCAAAGTCTGAAAACACAATGACAAAATAGGCCAAAGTCTGAAAACACGATGACAAAATAGGCCTACCAAACCATCCCCCCAAGGGGATGGTTTGGTAGCAGTAGAACCTTCTTCTGGAATCTGTGTAGTTGAGTAGACAAATAAGATCAACTGCAGAGAAAATGGCTAGTATGGAAAGACCCTTAAACCACTATGAAACGTGACTGTGTTTTAGTCATGTTGGCAAGAAGAGTCATAACTAGCAATCCTGGCTCCTGGGGCTTTGTTTCCCTATTGGATAAACTTAGGTAATGTGAGACTGGCATGGGGGGAAGAGGATGGAGGAATCAGTTAGAACAGCTCATTCTAAGTTTGTGGTGGTCATATGAGTCTATTCAGACCCTTCCAGCAGCAAATATCAACTGGCATGTTCAAATTCTTCCAGCAGCTAATTTTGGTGCCTCTGAATATTGGTGTCATGGATTCAAGCCCAGTTGCCCAACCTTGGATGTAGCTCTATTGGCAAGAATGGGCAGAGGGGTGGGGGCAGCAGTGTAAATAAAACCAATGCACAGGTAATAAGCAGATTAAATAAAACACAAACAGCCTTCAAGATAGCAAACTAGAGATTTTAGCTTTGAGTTAATATGTAAAAAATATAGACAGACAGAAAGATAGATATTGTTGCTTGTATGTGTTGTTAAGTCACCTCTGATTTATAGTAACGACAGACAGACAGACAGACAGACAGACAGATAGATAGCATAAAAGCAAGCTGGTCACCCCACTGCAATAACAATATTGAAACAACAACCTGTTTTGGGGTCATCAAGGACCAGTCTCTGCACAGGAGGATAAATTCCCTGAGGTGTGGTCTTGATCCCATTGAACTCCTGTGGATTCTATTTCCTCATTGACTTTAATGGAGTTAGAATTTCATGTATATCCTTTAACCTCTCTTAATTGGGATTTCCTGTCCATACCTAAAAGCATACCTTTCTTCGTCCCATCATGGCTAAAATACACTCCTTAGTTCCTGTGGGTTTTTCCAGCTGTTTAAATGAAAACAAATGGATCCAGCTGCATAAATAGATACTTAGTTCACTGAAGCCTGAAGCTGAAACCAATATATTTCTTCTGAGGTTGGCTACAGGCGAAGTCGAACGTGATCACTTAGAAATTATCCATGAGGTATGTTTTTTCAAAGAAATTAAATTAAAGTGAAAATATGTATTTCTTTCATACTAATTCAAAGTTTTGGGGATGTTGATAAGTTATATTTAAGTAAATGCTTCCCCTTCAAGAATATATAGATGGACATATATAATATGTGGGAAGAGAGACTATGGATGACCAATCTAAATGACCATATAAAAATAAAAATAAAAATAAAATGCTTATCATGATCTCTTCAGTAAAGAACAATTCAGTGCTTACAATATGGAGCACTATCCTTCTGTTCTTTTACTAAGCAGAAGTGTGCAGGGAAGCTGAAAAAGTGTGATGTGTGTTCAGGTATGGGGAAAGTCTAGTGAGGTAAAATGTAACCTGGCCAATGTGTCCCTGCTGATGCTTGTTTCTTTTTAAAACAAGCTTTGGATAACTATTACAATATAGACTTTCCCTGTGGTCTTGATCATTCTTTAAGAATGCTTTTGCTAGTTCTTTTAGTATTTTTAGATGGTTATTTTTTAAGCTATTGTATGTTTAACTGGTTTTTTTATCTAATTCTTTTCTGTGTTCTGAATCTTACTTGTATTTTAATGACTGTGAACCACCTTGAGTCTCTTTATGGGAGAAAAAGAAATAAAAAGAATAAAATAAAATAAAAATAAATTGATACATGAGGTAGAGTCTGCATATCTTGTGTGAATGAAGACTCAGAACACACCTTGAGAGAGCAGATAGGCAGCTAAAGGCCGCTTACCGAAAGAAAACCTTTTCAGTTGCAGCATTCAAAGTGTGGAATAACTTCCAACAGAAATGTCCCGTATTCTCCTCTCTATCTAAATTTAAGAAGGCACTGCAAACGTTAGGAGGGCGTTTGTTAAAAATACCTATACACAGCCTATAATGTATGTGCTGTGCATTGAGATGTTTGATACTGGTCCTAGAGCTATTATGTTTACATTTTCATTTTTACTTGTTCGGTTGATACTTAGCTTTGCTTTGAAATGGGCCCTGATTTCCTTGTGGTACAACGGAAACAAAATGTTGAGATGGACACACAGAAAAGTTATTCCTTTGACAAAGGAATTAATATATGCAAAACAGTCTTCTAAAACCTGGTGCCCTTTAGCTTTTTGGGGGGTTCTGACTTTGACATCAACCGAACCAGGGTGGCCCGTGGCCATTCTGGGTGGCGTGCTAGAGGTTGCAGTTCAGGCTGAGAAGTGATTATAGCTTAACCAATCGCATTTATTTATTTATTTATTTACCCTCCTTTCTTCTTGAGAATGACCGCAGGTGGCTTCCATTGTTTAAAATACAATATTTAAAGCTAAAAACTGTAAATATACAAATACTAAAATTAAAAATTTTAAAAATCAAACAAATACCTCACTAAAAGGCAGCAAACAAAAGCAACACCAAACCCACATTCAAAGCAGTAAAACACAACCATCCGTTAAAAAAGAAAACACGCACTCAGGCAGCCAGTCACTCACTCAGGAAAAGCTTGCCTGAGGACATTCCAGTTTTTAATTAGTGTAACTCTGAATAACAGATTTTTGGGATAAGGCCTTTTTGAGACTCAAAGTGTGCCTTTACCTCATGAAGTGTTTGTATTTGTTTATTTAAAGTATTTTTACTTTGCTTTCCAGAAAAATGAGTCTCCAAGAGGAGCTTACAAAATTCAGTACTGATTTAAACTCTTCCTTCAGGTTTATAATTGAAAAAAAAAACCATGGTTCAAAGGGAAAAGTATAATTTCAATTCCATTTCATTTGTTGCTCTCTCTCCCTCTCCCTCTCTCTCCCTCCTCATACTCATACTTTTACAGTCTGAACAAAAGCAAGGTTACATGAAGCTACTGGTTTTCACCAGTGTATATTGTTCCAACAGTGGAAAGACCAGAAAATTGTGAGGGGATATCTAGCTTAGTTCTCCGCTCTAAATTAACTGCTTGAATTAGGATCACATATCAAGGTTTCTGGCTTGTGTAACAAGAGCTTTCTCTTAAAAGGATGCCTTACATCCTACCAATCTCCTTATTCATGAGAAATATTCCAACTATTGGAAGAGATGTGTGATCTGAGTGTAGCTATGTCATTTTTCAGATTTGCTGGCAGGTTGCAGTCCTAAGAGGCAAGGGTTAAAGGTGAGGAGCAAGGCCAGAGAGGCTAATTGGCACGTTCAATTTTTTTTAAAATTAAAAAAAATGATTAATGCGCTGGTTATATGCTGGAAAATTTTGGTACAATGGATTTTTGTTATCTGGAAAAATGAGTACATTTTTTAAAAAATGAAAAGGGACCCTTTCAATTGTGGCATAATTGGTGCTAACATGTCCTAAAGGGCTCAGAGAGGATTTTTGAGCATTCCCTTATGTATTTATAAATTAGAAAGCTGGATGCCCTTAGAGTGCTGGGGTAGTGCTAAAATGGCCACCCCAGCCTAGACACTCAGTGTCACCTTGTGACTCAATGTGATACTGCAGGATATGGGAAATAAATTATTTAATGCTAAAACAATAAATCAATTTTTACAAACAAAATTTTATACCCTCAGGGTCCACTTAGTATGCATGCCAAGTTTCAGTTGTTTAGATTTAATGGTTTTAGAACCACAATAAAGACTGACAGTCAAATTGACAGATGCTTGTGTTATTAATTGGTATACATCTCACAAGTTTTTATTTACCTGAAAAAAAACAGAACATCAGGGTCTGTCTGTTTGTCTGTTACTTAGAGGTTATTTACACACACATACACATTATGATAGCATTTAGTGACCACAGGGTGTTAAAAATAAACTCTGCTCATGCTGATCTCTTTGTCCTTTAAAGAATGGAAAATATTATGTACTTCAAACCCTGCTGAGTCTCTAAAATTCTTTGGAAACTTTTGCAGTAACAATGGATTATGTTCAGCACCAGCCTGCCTTAAGAAGGAAAAAATAGAGTGATAAATAAGTATTTATTCTGAGAGACTCATTCAAGCTCTTGCTTTTTCATCTCCTCTGGAAGATTTCTTAGGTGGCTTCTCTTCTTTAAGAGGGCCATTTGTCAGAGAAACATGCTATGAAAGAATATTTTGCAATTGAATCAGCTGTCATTTGTAAAGTGCCTTGAAAATGTAAATCATCATGCAGATGCGATAGATTTAATGCCACTAATGACTTACTGATTTGTATGCAATTGCTTGATTGTTTAGGACAGGAAATAGAAGCACACAGATTTGCATGCATTTAAGGATGAGACTCGCCATTTGGAGGAAATGGTTCAAAGCGAATCAGTCTTTGGAGGAATGAAAAGGAAACGCTTTATCCAAGGAAGGAAACAAACATGTTGATGTCCAGTAGTTACATCACCAAATGATGAACCTCCCAGCACGGTATCACTTCCATTGTAAGTATCCTTTCCACAGATCAAAATATAATGATCACAACCATTATGAAATATTATGGGCACAAACTTATAATGAAAAGACATATGGTCCACATTGGACCTAATGAACATTCTTTGTTTCTATAAACAGCCAACATTTCAGAGCCCATATTTAATCAATCCTATAATTTATGTCACTACAACTGTGTCTTTCAGTGGACCAAAATAATGCTTAGCTCTGTACAGGGGAAATCTGAGCAATTTGAAAAGACCAATTGTTTAATCTATCATGTCACTACAACTGTAATTTTTAGTGGGCAAAAGTGATGCTCAGCTTCATACAGTGGAAATCTGGGCATGTTTTCCCTCAGGTCTCCTGGAGTTCAGTGTGATTTACCGTCTGGCAAATAAATTTAGAATGGCAGCCACAATTTTGTTAAATATTTTAAAATACATCTTATTTTCAGGAACTGTGAGTATCATAGCGTGTGGATTGTAATATGTGAACAACTGATTACTAGTTAATCCAGATTGATTGTCTGGAATACAGTCTCATGCATACGTACTTATGGTGACTGTAGTTTCAAAGCTCCCTCAAGTTGAAATAAATATTTTGTGCTTTGTGGTATGCTCTTCATACCCTGTTTCCCCGAAAATAAGAACTAACCTGAAAATAAGCCCTAGTATGATTTTTCAGGATGCTCATAATATAAGCCCTACCCCAAGAATAAGCCTTAGTTAAGTGAAACCCCGCCCTTCACCATTGTGCAGCAATCAGAAGATGACATGACTGTACAGTATTTGAATAAATGTAGATTGTTGTACATGAAAAAAAAAACATCCCCTGAAAATAAGTCCTAATGCGTGTTGTGGAGCAAAAATTAATATAAGACCCTGTCTTATTTTGGGGGAAACACGGTACATAGAATAGGAATGTAAATCACATAGGTTTTAAGTACCCTAACTATTTACATGACTGCTGTCTTAATTTCTCATTAGCCTTCTGTGTGAGGAGAATGCTTTATATCAATGTAATACTTTATATCAAGTTACAGTATTTTACATCACTCTTCCAAGGCTGATTCATACCAGCCACTTTTTTATGCATCCCACACTTTATCAGAACTTTCTGGTACATGATAGGCTTCGTCCTTGAAGCTACTGCAAACAAAGAAAGGTATGAAAAATCCATTGCTTGGTGTAAGTGCCCATCAGAAAGATGAAACCTCAGTTAAACTATATTGACAGGCAGTTATGTGTATCTTTAAGCTTTTTAAAACAATGTTGAAGTAAATGTATGGAACTATGAAGCAGGGGGAAGGCAAAGTTCCTTTTTGGTACTGTTCCACTGCCTGATTGATCTTTTCCTTGATTGTTTGGCAAATATACCAGAGCAAATGCTTTGTGAACCTAATTTTGACAGATGATTAGAAATAGAGATGGGCATGAACTGCTGGTTTAGCAGTTTGTTCCAGTTTATTTTTCAGCCAAACAGGTGTTCAGCGCTTCCCAGCCCCACCTCCTCCAGTAGGCACCCAATCGGAAGCAGTGCCCTGGTCTCCTGCCCCACCTCTCAGTGGGCACTTGCCAAAGGAGGCGGGGCTGAGAAGCGGCAAACACTTTTTGGGCCGAACCAGCACGAACTGGTTCATGCCCATTGTTAATTAGAAGCTTATCATCAATAAACACAAAATGTTTAAACTACAAATTGCAGGAACACATACTCCTTGTTGTGGGACAGAAGACGTCAGCACTCTTCACAAGGGGAAATTTGCATTATTTACACCTTACTGTACGTATAAAAGCAAATTGTATTTTGGACTCCCCAAAGTGTGATTAAACGGTGTGTAGGGATAGGGAATGGCCAATATAAATGTTGTGGGATGGGTCTGCCTTCTTGACAGTATCTTGGACGAGGCAGTGCCTCCAAGGAAAGGCCAGCAGCATCCCTGCAAAATGGTGATAACAGTTTCAGTGAAGAGTCATACAAGAGAGACATGGGCTGAATCCTGTTGCTCAGCATAGAGTAGGCCCATTGAATCAGTGGGGATTTGATGAGTCAACTCCTCCATTAGTTCCTTTGATTCAAATGGGCCTACTCTAAGTTGCAACTTGCTATGCTAAATTAGAATCAATGTAGCTTATGGAGGAGTTTGTTCACCAAATCTCCATTAGTTCAATGGGCCTACTCTAGTGTGGCTTACTTCTGGGAATCTGGAAATGCACATATTCTGTCTGCAGAAACAGAACACTTCTACCTGCATGATTTTAGCCATTGGTAGAAAGTCTTCCCACACCTCTGCCTTCATACAGAGTGTTGCTGTTGTCTGTGTGGAGCGGTACCAGCTTGTGACCTATTTCTAAATTAAATTTAAAGTGCTCTTTATGACCTGTAAAAATCTACATAATGTGTAGTCCATGATATCTGAGGGACTTCCCCTCACTGTATGTCCTGGTGTATGAGGAGGCTTTCCTCGCAATGCTACCGCCCTTAGAGGCACATGTGGTATGTGATTTGGCTTTGTCTGAATCTCAAAGTGAATTGTACTGATTCAGAGTGATTTTGGAGGTGTAGGAATTGAAATAAAGCTTCTCTAAAGACAACCAAATCCAAATCTCACACCCTCCCTGAAACACTGTGAGAATTTCAGATTTTCTGGGAATCTGGAAATACACATATTCTGTCTGCAGAAACAGAACACTTCTACCCGCATTCTCCAGATAAAGAACATGCGCGGGGCATGGAGAAATGAGAGGGCAAGTAGAAATAGGAGTGTCGTTTTCTAACAGACAGACCTAGCTTCTAATCACAGTAAACTGTTTTATCAGCACTCACGAATCACTTTAGGGCAGGAATACTACAGTAATATATTACTCTACTGTCAGTGTTCAGTGCTTTTGCTCTTTCTGTCTCTCAGGAGCATGAGTGAAATAATGTTAATGGGACCTGTGGGAGTGGAAGGTGTAACATTTGTGCTTTCTTAAGAAAAAAAAGCTCAATGGACAAGTATTTCTGGTTGTAAAACTGTACACTGCACATATCCATCCCATGGCACTTTTGGTGATGTTGGTGCTAGATGAGCAGAAAAGAACAAATCCTGGAACTCTTTTCCATTCATCATAATTAGAGATGGGGTATTCATATTCACCTCCCAGGGGAGACAAATCTGAATATTACTACCACAGGTGGCTGGGTTTTTTTGACCCCATCCCCCAGAACTGGCTGGTCCACTTACAGCACAATGCATGTGGCTGTCATTGTTTGCACTCACCAGTCACAGAAGTAGACTCATCATCCTGCTTCCTGGTGGAAATGGTCAGTAGTGCAGGGAGGTGAGGAAGCCCCAGCCAGGATACTTCCACGATTTGTGTGGTGTGAATAACAATGGCTGTGTGCAGTGCGCCACAAGCCGCAAGTGGACCAGCCAGATCTGGGGATGGGTTGAAAGGGCCCGACCACCTGTAGTAGTGATATCTATATTCACCTCACACAGGAGATGAATACGAAGAGTCCATCTCTAATCACAATTATCTCACCCTCACATGTACCCTTCTAAAGAGGTGGCCACTTCTTTATGGAATGCTCTACCTGTGGAGAAACGCCCAGCCCTTCCCTCCTAATATTCAGGAAGCATATAAACCTTGGCTTTTTAGGGAGGCATTTCAAGATATCCTCCTTTTATAACTGTTGGTCATTTACCATAGTTTTATTTTGATGATTTACCCTGTATTCTTTATCTTGTCTGTCGCAACCATCATGATTTTTAGATCTGTTGCTTTGTTATGTAGATGTGGAGAAACGCCCAGCCCTTCCCTCCTAATATTCAGGAAGCATATAAACCTTGGCTTTTTAGGGAGGCATTTCAAGATATCCTCCTTTTATAACTGTTGGTCATTTACCATAGTTTTATTTTGATGATTTACCCTGTATTCTTTATCTTGTCTGTCGTAACCATCATGATTTTTAGATCTGTTGCTTTGTCATGTAGATATATATCTTATTTTATATTTTTGGTTTGGTTAGGATTTGGATGCTCTTTGTATGTTTATTTTACTGCTGGAAACTGCCCAGAGTGGTGGCTAGGCAACTAAATGGTGCAGTATGAAATGAGAGAGACAGATATATTCGCATCTGACCTTCTTAATTTTTTACAGGTTTTTAAAACTACGGTTGCTCCTCTACTGGATGTTAGTTTTATAACCGTTGCCCACAACAATTAAGTACATTGAATACGATGAGATTTATTTCTTAACAAACACACTGCCTTGAGGTTTAAATCTACACATGCTAATACTTTTTAAAAAAGTATTACTGTTTGTTTAGTGGCTGAACAACTGTTTGGTGCTTCAAAGCCCTGTCTTCTACAGCAGGTGCCCGCTTAGAGGCAGCATCTGGACGAGGCAGGGCAGGGAGCCCAAAGTGTTCCAGCACTGGTTTTTGAATATTACTGTTTCTAATTCCTGCGTGCAGACTGGCCTGTTTGTACTATGTAACATGATATAGGGCATTTCTGGAAAGATAGCATAGGTCACATTAGGAGACAAGCAGATGTATCAACCCCAGATGTTGTGCATTACATTGCTACAAAAAAACAACCTCAACCTCCCCCCACTAACCCATCCACCCCCATTTACCTGTAGATCATATCATCAGTTTCATTCTTCTTTCTCAATCTTTGAATGCAGTGGGGGGGAGGGAGAGAGAAAGTCCATCTCTTTATTTGATAGATACAGCCAAAGGCAGCTGTAGTCTAAAGATGCAGGTCAAGGCAATCATTTGTTATTTAGTGACATGCTAATTTCGAAGTGCTATTAATTCTCAGTACAAGTTTCCAAGCTGATCCTCAGTGACATTGTGCTACAGAGATATGTGGATCTCTGGGCACAAAGTAATTCCTATTTTCAATATGAAGTGGTTGACTATTATCTACACAAGTCCCCACATCAAGGCTACCTCTCCCAGAAGGTAAGGTTATATCATTTTTTCCCAGCAATGTAGTGAAGCAATTATGCAATCTGCT